ATTAGTGATTTGTGACAAATAAATAAATTTTTTGACTTCTAATTTTTTTAATTTATTTATGACCAACGAATAAATTGTAACCTATATATTTTTTGATTTGTGATCGAGAAATAATTTGTGACTAAATTATATAGAATTGTTACTTTAATGTATTTAATTAATAAAAAAAATTTCAATTAACTTTTCAATAAATAAATTTTAATAATAACAGATTTTTGAAGTTTTGAAACTTGTTTCTTAATTTTGAATTGGGTTATAGTTAATTTCTTATATATGAAATTTTCCACTGCATAATTTAGTTTGGAAGTCTCCAACTGGAGAAGTAGATGCATACTGGGTCGACGTCTGCCCAGCCCAAATCTTTATTCGCCAAAGTCCAAAAAATGCATCAGTGGGCCGGTGAAACGTGGTCTGTTTTGGGTCGAGTGTAACTAACAGTCCAACAAGCCACAAATTTTGCTATTGGAAAACTTCGTGGGATATGAGATGTCTTTCATCAACTTGCGCTTCTCTGAAAGTAGATTATAATCAATTTAAATTATAAATATATAAAAATAAGTTATAGATAAAAAAGTAATTTCTAACCAATTATGTTTATAAAATAAAGGGTGATTACATTCACACCACATTTTTTCTATAATTAGATCACATTTTAATTACATCATCACTTTTTTATCCTTTACTTTATTCTTCATGACATATTTATTTTTTAATATTTCATCAATCAGTAAATCTTGTTAATCATGATTTTCGTTCAAAAATATTGTTAATGTGCTTTAAAATGAGGGTCAAATATTTAATTATATTTTTTCACAATATTATTTGTTTTACTTAAGGCCGGCTTCAATCCATATGAGAAGAAAAGGGTAAAGGGTGGCAGCTCTCTTTAATAGAATTCACCGTTTTGTTTTATTAGAGGGAAGAACTAGAATCCATTGAATTTCGAATAATAATATTTCAATCTCAAAGTTTGCTTTTGAGTTCAATTGCTTTTGGTTTAATAGCAATGGTTGTTTTTCCAGTTTGTCGATCAACTAGAGATCAAGAGGGCGTTAAGTATTGCTTGACTTCCAGTCAGGCCACAGAAAGAAAGGATATATTGTGTTGCTTAGGAATGAGAATCCCTTAGGTGGAATAGGGCTTTCAAGTCCAATCTTCGATGGTAATCAAATATCTCTCTTATATTTGAAGGACAAAGATGGCTCGATTTATCCAACTACTTTTCGACCTGTCCAATTGCTNAGTCTTTGTCACATGGGACAGCATTTTAGTTTCAGACAACGTCTGCCAACTTGACTTTTAGTCTCATCTGGACAAAATCTGACCCTCTTTTCCTTCACAATTAATTCACCATTTTCAAATGGAAAAAAGTGTCTCAAATCTGAGTCCTCCGAATAGAAGCCGAAACCTGTGCACATTTCCTCAAAACTATTTTCCCATTCAATTCTGAGCTTTCACACCGGAACAACTTCCTTTGAATAAACCACTCACTTTTGACCCACAGCAGAAAAAAAGTTAATCCATACCATTACTGTTCTTGTTATAGTAAAAAATATACATATATCCTTGTCCATAACGTGCAAACAAGAAAGTTTTCAAGAAGAGAGACAAAAAGCAAGAATTACAAAGTGTAAACAAGAAAGACTTTGAAAGCTTCAACATTTTTAAGTTCTGGCCCAATCAAAGGTAAGTTCTGACCCATATCTTTTCATGTTCTTGATTTTTTTATTATTTTCCAATTTCATATGTTTTTGTATGCCAGTGTTTGTGTTTGTGTGAAGCTGGAAATTTGGGATTTTTGGGGAAGGGATAACAATATAGCTCTACTGAAAATGAAAGGTGGGATTTTTGTGCAGTTCTGAAAACGAAATTTTAGGGTTTAAAATTTTTTCCAAATATATATATATACTGATACAGTTGGCAACACGAAGTTTCTGATTTTTCAAGAATTTGGGTCTAACTCTCTGTCTATTTCACAATGGAATTAGTTAGGTCAAGGACTAACTTTTAGATTGGAACGATTGAGGAAGCAATGTGGTCTTTGTTGAACTAAACTGACTGACAGTCATGAAGAGGAATTCTGCTACATTAAGAAATTCGGGTGCATATACCAGCCCTGGAACGCCAGAATATGGTGATAATAATGTGGGAGGAATTCCGAAGGGTTGGAGTTCCGAGCGAGTTCCAATCCCTACTAATAGTAGCCGAAGGCATATTAATGCTGCAGCATTTATGCCATTTAATAGTGGAAGGACCCTGCCTTCAAAATGGGATGACGCAGAGAGATGGATTACGAGCCCACTTTCGGGGTATGGTGCCGGTAAGACATCGATTGTGCTGCCTCAGAGGCGACCAAAGTCGAAGAGTGGCCCACTGGGTTCTCCAGGACTTGTGTATTTATCCAATTATTCGCCCACCATGCCTGTGCTCGAAAATGGAAATGTGACGAATTTCGTGGCCAGTTCCCCACTTACAACTGGGGTCTTGGTGCCTACTGGCCTATCAATTCATTATGATGCTGGCATTTCTGCAAAGTCGAACTCTCTTTATCCTGAGAATAGCATGGCTCGATCAACTAGCGTGCCTGGCTTGTCTGATATGCTAAGTGAATCTTCAATGCCAAGCTCTCAAGGTATATATAGCTCTTCATTTTCTTTTTGGCCTCTGTATGTGATCGAATGCTCAAGCATTGGCACAATCTAATACAAACAGAGGCAATATGTTGTTTTACCATTTAATTATCTGCGTGTGAGGAACAGTGTGAATATATCTCCATGTAAATATACCTAAACCACTGTCGTGTTCAGATGCTCTGGGTCGTTTGAAGTTTTTGACCTGAGACCTGAATCTGTGGCAAAGTTCCTGAATCACTCGTTACAAAACTAGTCTTGTATAAACTGGAGTCAGAGTTGCGATATGTTATTAAGATCTCACTGATTATGCTAACTAAATATCTGTTGTTTCATCATTGGTGAATTGAATGGTTAGATGATAAACCTGATAGCATCAAGAAGGATGAAGCTGCAGTTTCGTGGGATGTTTCACGTCGGGATATGGCAACTCAAATGAGCCCAGAAGGCAGCACTCATTCATCTTCCGAAGGAAGGTTATCATTCTCTGGTCTCCCTTTCTCCATCCCGAGTTTAGTGGAGCCACAAAGCAATCATTCAGCCAAAGATGAAGTCAGGGATGTCCAAGTAGACAAAGGCATCACTGTAGCCAGGCAGTCCAAGAAACATGGATTGAGAAAGATGAGAGGTTCGCCAAATGCTGCATATTTGCCCTCACAGTTGGATGTTGCTGAGGCATCAAATAGCTTGTCGAAGTATGTCTTTTTCCTCAGAATCTTAGGGATATTTAGTACGCAGTACTAGATTAGACAATACAAGGAACAAGATTTTAGCTTGTTTTTCTTCTCTATTACTGTCTGCAACTATCCAATCCTCTCAATCAAACACGTCATAAGAGTTAAGGTCCATTAATTATTGAATTAGCAGAAATAACTCTCAATGCCCAGATAATATTCACCGGTGTCTCAGCAGCAAAAGTATAATTCCTATCGATTGAAAACCACATTTTGTTTAGGTAATAAACTTGACG